GAGGTTCGTAGGGTAAGAATGAGTTAGTCTTGAGAATACTTTGACTCTTACTAGCCTGCTCCCCTCTAGAGCTCTCATCTTAGTAGGAGGAAGAGAAATGATTCTTACAGACAGGAAACACAAACCACAAGTACAGAGACAGAGTGAGGTCAGAGGATATGGCAAGTCCATGCTGCTGAGAACTCAGCCAAGTTCACAACTGATAAAATTCGATTTTTAAGTGGAATACAGAGAATCATCTATTCAAAAGTCAGTAGAGCTTATTCAAAATGTGGAGCTCAACAGCTCACTCAGATAATATATAGAGACTGAGATTTATGATGTTACCAGGACAATAAAAAAAAAAGCTTGTGATTTTGTTTTTCTTACAGAAACCGGAAGGAAGCTCCTGAGAGTTTATTGAGTGTTGAGCTGCACAAGAGTCAAGAAGAGACAGAAAATATTCAATTCTTTAGAAAATATTTATTTTTATTTTATGTGTGTGTGTGTATGTGTGTGTGCGCGTGCACGTGCAGGTGCCCTCAGAGGCATTGGATCTCTTGGAACTGGAGTTACAGAAGATTGTGAGCCATTTGGGTGCTAGAAACCGAACATGAGTCCTCTGCAATAGCTGCATGCACTCTTAACAGCTGAGCCACCTCTCCAGCCCCAAATACTCACTCTTTATAACATTTCAAAAAAAAATTAAAACTACTATAAAATATTTTACTATACTCCCATTACCTTGACAAATTCTTGGCATTTCTGAATTCACTGCCTATTCAAATGCTGAGAGTTGAACCCAGGACCTCACATATGCTAAATACATGTTCTAACACTGAGTTACACCCTTGTACTTCTGAACATGTTTAAAAAAAGTTTACCTCTTAACACCATATATAACATATTCTTGGCTTTTCTGCCCCTCTGCATTTCGGGTTTGCCATGATGGTACACTAACTGTCTGAGAACTACTTAGAGGATTTATTTTTCCTCACTGTTAGCATTTTTCCCATTTTATAAACTACTATCCTAAATAACAAAGGCCTTCTGTCTTGTGATTTCTAAAATAGTCAACATAAAATGTATTTTGTTTGTGTTTTATCATCTTGGGGATTAAAATCAGATCCTTATACATTCTAGGCAATTGCTCTGCCACTGAGCTACAGCCCCGAAGTGGATTTTAATAAAAATGGGTCCAGTGAGATGGGTAAAAAGTGCTTACCACCAAGCCTGGTGACCTGAGTCCAATCCTTAGGATCCACATGGTAGGAGGAGAGAATCAACTCCCCAAAGTCACCCTCTGACCCTCATATGCATGCCATGGCACCACTTCCAAACACACACACACACACACACACACACACACACACACACACACACACCACTGAATAAATAAAAATTTTTAAATAAGTGAACTTCTATCCGAATCATCTATTTTCAGTTCAGCTGGAATTCTGGTTCATTTTTTCCTTTTTTTTCTTTCTTTATTACATTATTATTAAATACTTTTTATGTAAGGCAATTTCTTTTTTAATAAATAATTTAAGAATGTCATACATGCATACAAGGTGTTTTGATCAAATCCACGCCCACTCCCTTTCCTCCAACACCTCCCATATCTCCCTATCACTTTTTTCTGATAACTTCACGTATTCTTTCTTCTTCTTTGATTTATTTATTTATGGGGCTTTTAGCTACTCTAACATTGCCCCCCTCTGAAGAGGTAACCCTAAAATCTTTTAAGGATTAGATACAAGCTCCCAAATATTTTGATATTTCGGCCTTTGGAACAGAGTATGTTGCTAAGAGGCCCAAGGACATTGTGAGTTTTAGCCAAGAAACTGGCTACTTTTCTTTGGGGTCTTTTAACCCTAACTGCCTAGCCAATTCCTACCTCCTATTCTTATCACACCATCCTCTGAAGAGGTTACCCAA